TCATAGCTCATAGCAACCTCCAACTCTTGGGCTTAAGTGATCCTCTTGACTCAGTTTTTTTATTTTTAGTAGAGACAGGGGTCTGGCTTTTTGCTCAGGCTGGTCTCAAACCCGTGAGCTCAAGTTATCCCCCACCCTGGCCTCCTAAAGTGGTAGGATTATAGGGATGAGCCATTGCACCTGGCCTGATTTCTTCTTAAAAACGTATTTCCAGGTAGTCACCTGGGGAGGCAATAAGTTTATTCCATTCAGAACTAGGAGTACATTTTAACATTATCCTAAGCCTTTGAAAATGGATCACACGGGGCTACTGAATAAGCTAGATGATAACTTCCATCCCACATTTTTGTTGTTGTAGTTGTTAAAATATTGCCAACATGGCAGAAAGATATTGATGCTCCTTTCTAGCTCATGAACTGATTATGAAAGCAACTCCTAAACTGTTTTCAGAGATTTCTTAAGCAGAGGCAGAATCATTGTAATAAGGTCTTTCCCTACTCTGAGAGGACTGAGTCATTAATTTATCTATTCATTCATTCATTCTTTCAACAAACATTTATTGACATGTACCAGGTATTGTGTCAGAAACTGAAAGTGAGTGGCCTGCCATTAAAGCCTATGGTGCAGTACAGAGATAAATAAATATGTATGTATTATTCGGATAAAATATACTAAGTTACCGTAATGACGTATGCATAATGTACTATTGGAGTATGGCAGAAATATACCTGATTCAGCCTGGGAGTTGGGTTAGGGGAGGAGGAAGATCTGGGAAGCCTTCTAAGAAGTGGTGGTGCCTGGACTGCCCTGAAAAATGACTAGAAATTAGCCAGGAAGAGACTTAGGGGAAGAGGACAGTGAGAAGGGGTGATGCACCTGGGTAGAACAGTGTTCACGAGAGCTCAGTAGCTTTTATGACAGAATTTCATGAGACTTCCTAATAATTTAGTATGGCCAGAGGATAGGTTGCAAAGAAATAGCTATGGCAAGACAAAAGATGAGATGGGAAAGATAAGCAAATAATCATGAAAATACATGAGCTATTCAGTATGGACTATATCATCATGAATATAGAGGGTCACTGAAATAATGTAAATGAAATGTTATAATTAGAACTTTAGAAGAAATATTCTGGCACTTATAAATCCATGTGAAAGAGGGATTTAGGGAAATGAGAATAATGACAGGGACACTAATTGAGAGGATAGTCATCAGACCTGTATTAAGATAGTGGCAGTATCAATGATAGAAATAGATGTATACAAGAAGTAAAATGGACAAGATGTGAATTCTGGCTTAGGAACCACATGGATATTCCTATTCATGAAGTGAGAAACACAAAAAATAGAACAGGCTTAGAAAGGAAGATTACTGACATGCTGAGTTTAAATTGTTTTGGGGACAAGTAGGTGAAATATTCACATGCTCTCTTGGATTTTTAGATAAGGAGAAAGAATTAATTTATTTGGGAATCACGAGCATAACTGAAGTCCTCAAATAACAGCCAATAAATAGTAAATACTTGTTTACTTGCAGAAAAGCCTGGCTCAGTAGTTGTGAAATTTTACAATGGAATTTTGTTTCTCATTATATTCAAAACAATTGTAAATAGTTAAGCATGATTACCTTTTAAAACACTAACATTAGAAACAAAATTCTTCACCTCTTTCTGAACCTCATTTCCTTCTGCTATATCTAATATTTCACATTTCTTCCATTCTACTAACTGTTATCAACATTACCTTTTCTATACAAAATAATACTGAGTTACAAGTCTATTATAAAATCAAGAACTGTGGCCAGGCGCGGTGGCTCATGCCTGTAATCCCAGCACTTGAGAGCCTGAGGTAGGTGGATTGCCTGAGCTCAGGCGTTCAAGATCAGCCTGAGCTAGAGTGAGACCCCATCTCTAAAAATAGCTGGGTGTTGTGGCACAGACCTGTAGTGGGAGATCTTGGGAGGCTGAGGCAAGAGAATTGCTTAAGCCCAAGAGTTTGTATATAGAGGTCATTGAAATGATGTTGCTGTGAGCTATGACACAATGGCACTCTACTAAGGGTGACAGAGTCAGACTCTGTCTCAACAACAACAGAACTAACTAAATAAATAAAATCGGCCTGGTGCAGTGGCTCACGCCTGTAATCCTACCACTCTGGGACGATAAGGCAGGTGGATTGCTTGAGCTCACAAGTTGGAGACCAACCTGACCTGAGCAAAAAAACGTGAGACCCTATGTCTACTAAAAATAGAAAAAACCGAGGCAAGAGAATCACTTGAGCACAAGAGTTGGAGGTTACTCTTGTGGGGTACTCTACCTGGGGTGACATCTTGAGACTCTGTCTCAAAATAAATAAATAAATAAATAAATAAATAAATAAATAAAATAAAATAATAAAATTAAGAACTTTGTATAAGATTATCCATCCTTTGAAGGGAAAATAACTTGTGAGACAACATTAGGTAATCAAGAGAGGAAATGTTCTCTACAAAGATATTTCAGAACTGAACTAACAAAGGCCTTCCAGTGAAAAGCGGTACTATTATATGGATGTTACAGAAATAAATTAATGTGGAAAAGTCTACATTATAGTGAATAAGGTAAAATTTTTCTGGTGTTTATAGTTTAAAAAGATGTTCTGCTACTTGCTACCAATTAAAGTTAGAAAACTCAATAGTACCTAGATTTTTGAGTAAGAAAAGCTAAATTACTTGTGTAAAACCTAAGTTTCTTTTTTTTAAATACATTTTGACAGTCCTATCCAGGCTGAATTTTAACAGTTAACTTGAGTCTGTATCCCTGGTTGGACAACATATGAGGCTGTATAAAGCATACTTAATATATACTAATTTAAAAATATTAACTATTGAAGTTTTACAAGGAATATGGTATACAACATATTGAGGTTGTACAAAGAATGGTGGTATATTTGAGAAATGGAGGTATTGGGGTCATATTAAAAGAGAAAAATAGGTTAAGAGGATATATTATTGGATTCAACTCTATAATTTTGTCCCAAATACTTTACAGTGTTCATAGGGAATCCCACTTTCAGGGTGAACTTCTGTTGATAAAGGAAAGTCCTTTGTAGGCTTATAAAATATATTTCAAGCTTAACAAAGTAATAACTTTTGAAACTCATTTTAATTAGCTTTTCAGAATTTATTTAGGATTATATACTATTTCAAAATTATATGTAAACATTCCACTTTAAATAGTATTTTGTGTTTGAATTTTCCACCCTTCTTAAAGGGGTTTAACTGTTTTTGCTAATGGATGTTTTAACAATCCTTCAATATTCATCACTGTCAGATGGGAAGTCTATGCCATTCTTTTTTCTTTCTGTTTTTGTTTTTGTTTTGAGATAGAGTCTCATTATGTCACCCTTGGTAGAGTGTTGTGGCATCACAACTCACAGCAACCTCCAACTCTTGGACTTAAGTGATTTTCTTGCCTCAGCCTCCCAAGTAGCTGGGACTCCAGGCGCCTGCCACATGCCCAGCTATTTTTTGTTGTTGTTGTAGTTGTCATTGTTGTTTAGCAGGCCCGGGCCGAGTTCGGTGTATGTGGCTCGCTCTGTAACCACTGAGCTACAGGTGCCAAGCCAAGTCTATGCCATTCTATCAGAAAACAGATGGGAAACTGGAGCTAAAAAATACTGGAGAGGAGCACATGATTATAGGAAGATAGCCACACATACACACGTGTGCAAAACTATCCCATTAAAGCAGCAGTTCTCAGCCTGTGGGTCGTGACCCCATTTTGCCATTGTAATAAGGTGGCAATTAGGAAGGTTGAGAACCACTGCATTAAAGAAATAGGAACAGAAATAATTGGAAAATACAGATTTTTTTTGTCTTTTTTTACTTGGTTACTAAGGATTTGGCAATCCAAAGGGCAAGATGAAATTTAGTTATATTTAGTAAAATAATGGTTTTCTTACCTTTTTTTTTTTTTTTTTTTTTGAGGCTGAGTCTCACTATGTTGCCCTTGGTAGAAGGCCATTGTATCTTAGCTCACAGCAACCTCAAACTCTTGAGCTTAAGTGATTCTCTTGCCTCAGCCTCCCAAGTAGCTGGAACTACAGGATCCTGCCACGATGCCCGACTATTTTTTGATGGCAGTTGTCATTTTTGTTTAGCAGGCCCCGGCCGGACTCAGCTTCCGTGTATGTGGCTGGTGTCCTACTCACTGAGCAACAGGCGCTGAACCTCAAGGTTTTAAGAGAAGATGTGGAAGTGGTATTGAGGAATTAGGATATTCAAACTTATTTCAGCTTTGACTGACTTCACTATGCTTTGACAGAGTCTCACTATGTTGCCCTGGGTAGAGTGCTGCGGCATCACAGTTCACAGCAACCGGAAACTCTTGGGCTTAAGTGATTCTCTTGCCTCAGCCTCCCAAGTAGCTGGGACTACAGGCACCTGCCACAATGCCTAGTTATTTTTTTGTTGTTGTCGTAGCTGTCCTTGTTGTTCGGCAACCTACCAGCCCCAGTGTATGTGGCTGGAGCCCTAACCAGTGGGCTACAGGCACTGAGCCTAACTCCACTAATTTCGCTCCCTGGTCACACATTTGAAAAGAGAGGATATAAATAGTTAATTTGTACCTTTGCTCTAAGCTTAATCCTTATGGCCTTATTAGCTCATACCTAAATATTAGTAGTACTCTTATAAGTAGTTCTATTGCAGCAGCTTTTTGAACATGTTATTGCTGGCTAATTTAAATAATATACTGAAATTTATTCTCAAAAAAATAAATTTCATTGTATATTATTGACTTCCCTGGTTTTATAACATGAAGAATGTGAGGAAATGAATTAGTTCTATTTCCAGTGTAGAACACTCCAATGCCAAACCATTGGTTTGCCTCTAAATACAGGGTAGTTATGGGATTCTTGTGTTGCTGGGTGCCTGCATAAATCTTTGTAAAAAGCACTTCTATATTGATCTCATGTCACTACACGTAAGTGTAGCCTTTACTTTAACAAACATAATCTATTGCTTTTACACAGTACAAATATTCACACTGATGTACTGGGCTTTAAAGTGTAGAAAAGAAGAACTGAATATAAATGTTTAAATGTAAATCTAAAAGGGAGGGGAAGTTTTCTTTTTGTTTTATTTTAACAAAAATTTTCATTCAGTTTAACAAAAATATCAGTTTGAGATAATTTTTTATTTAATACTTATATTACTTTTTAAGGAAAAGACCATTTCAGGCATGAAGAATATTATTGCTGAGATGGAACAGGCATCAAGGTAAGTCATTCATTCAGCAAACATTTGAGCACTTATTGGGGGCAAAGTACAATGTTAGGTACAAAGATAGAATGAAACAAGAAGCTTAGTGGTACATATGAGGTGGCAACTCTCTAATGTTTAAAGGAGGCCTAAGTCTGTCTAGAGAAGCAAAAGAGAGAATAGTATTTGCTAAGTAAAGGGAATGGTATTCAAAGTAGAAAGAATAACAAAGACCTTCAGATAATGTCCAAAAGCCTCTTGACCTACAAGTAGATGAGTTTTATGGGGACCCAAAGTATAAGAGAAGTGAAGGGAGGTGGGAGGCTAAACAGGCAGGAAGAGGCCTGTGTTATAGACAAATGAATGATTTTATATTTGGGGCAATAAGAAATCATTGAAGAATTCTTGGGAGATTTTGTCTTAGAAAGATTCCCTAGACAGAAGAAGTTATGGTGGCTTGGTGCCTGTGGCTCAAGTGGCTAAGGCTTAAGCCACATACACTTAAGGTGGTGGGTTCGAATCTAGCACAGGCCTGCCAACAACAATGACGGCTGCAACCAAAAAATAGCCAGGCATTGTGGCAGGCACCTGTAGTCCCAGCTACTTGGGAGGTGGAGGCAGGAGACTCGCTCAAGCCCAGGAGTTGGAGGTTGCTGTGAGCTGTGATGCCACAGCACTCTACTCAGGAGGACAGCTTGAGGCTCTGTCTCAAAAAAAAAAAAAAAGAAGTTATGGTAAATTGGGATTTAGGAGGTGGGGAACAGAGGGAGTGAGGTGCTTATGAGAAAGATAGACAGTAGGAAAATGCCAGGTTTCTGGACAGGGATGAATGCTGAACATGACAAAAATAAGAGGAGAAAGATACTTTTACCATTCTACTTAACCTTTGAAACCTTAATGTAGACATGTCTAGGAAGTAGTTAAATACAAGTCTAAAAGTGTAATAGGCTCGGCGCCTATAGCTCAACCGGCTAAGGCGCCAGCCACGTACACCTAAGGTGGCGGGTTCGAATCCCCAGCCCAGACCCGCCAAACAACAATGACGGCTGCAACCAAAAAATAGCCAGGCATTGTGGCAGGCACCTGTAGTCCCAGCTACTTGGGAGGTGGAGGCAGGAGACTCGCTCAAGCCCAGGAGTTGGAGGTTGCTGTGAGCTGTAATGCCACGGCACTCTACCCAGGGGGACAGCTTGAGGCTCTGTCTCAAAAAAATAAAATAAAATAAAATAAAATAAAAGTGTAATAGAGAGGCTAACACTGGAAATAATTATTTTGAAGTCATCTTGGTATAGATGGGAACTGGAGCTATGAATGGAATTTGTCTGAGGGAAGGGCTAGAATGAGAAGAAGAATTGGGAGATTAAGCTTTGAGCCCTGAAAAACATTAATTTTTAAGAAGACCAAGGAAGAGGAACTGGTAAAGGAGACTAAGCCATAGCAGCAAGAGGTAGAATGAAGGACTTCCCAATACTTAAGTGATAGAAGCTTTGAGATACTTAGGAAATCATTGACTGTTTGGTATATTTAATATCTTTTTCATGATGAGATGATGACAACATAGAGAAACTCTAATGGACTGTCTTGTAGTATATATTCCTATAAATTTAAGTGTTTAAAATCTCTTCAAATGTTTTCATGCTATCCATCTTCTGTCTTGTGAGAATGTGTTATTCTGTTTCAGTAAAATGTCTCTTCTTATGTACTGTTTGATTTGTGGAATAGACAGTCTACTGAAGCCCTAATTATGTGTGAACAAGACATTTCCAGAATGCGTCGGCAACTGGATGAAACAAATGATGAGCTGGCTCAAATTGCCAGGGAAAGAGATATCTTGGCACATGATAATGACAATCTCCAAGAACAGTTTGCTAAAGCTAAACAGGAAAACCAGGTACATTATTTCTAGAATCTTTCCTCCAAAAAAGAAAAATTTCTTCTGAGGAACAGCCCTCATTTCATTTTGTAGAAAAACTCAGTCATTAAACTAGGATGTTTTTTAACCTTTAGAAGAGAATATGTCACATAATTTCTAAATGAAATTCTCAAATATAAAGTGTTTAATATTAAAAAATAGACAAAAAAGGGATATAACAGATTTATATTAAACCTTAGAAAATGCTTTCTTGCTGAAGGATAAATGAATAAATCAAAAAATAAGGATAAAAACTTCAGAAACTTTAAAGGATAGATTTGTTTGATGGACTGTGTATTATTCTGTTTTAGTATGGGGGTATGAACTGTGTCACCTTACTTGGTCAGCTTTAGTATTGTGATTCTTTTTAGGAAAATTCCTGTTTATAAATACTTTCTCTCTAAGGCAATATATTTCACTTTCAATGTTAGTCACTGTTAACATTTGATATATTTTTTAACTGATTTTCCGTGCACTTAAAAAATTTTTAGTATTACTTTGTGCTTTTTAATGTAAATGGGATAAAACCACCCACTTTATGTGTTTTTTTCTATATGAGGAGATAGTAGAGCCAAGTAAGGCTCACATGGGGTTTATTCTTACTATTTGGTTGTGTGATCATATAGTTTAACTTCTGTGAACTTCAGTGTATCATCTGTAAAAATGGCTAATAAATGATAATATGCCTAGAAGGTACTTACTATAGTGTACACTCAATAAATATTTCGTTGCTATTATTAGCTTACTGTAATAATACACAGAATGTAAAGTCTCCGTCTTTTTTAATGGCTGAATAGTATTCCATGGTATATACATATATATAACAGCTTGTTAATCTGTTCCTGGGTTGGTGGGCATTTAGGCTGTTTCCAAATTTTGGTGATTGTAAATTGAGCTGCCATAAACAGTCTAGTGCAAGTGTCCTTATGATAAAAGAAATTTTTTCCTTCTGGGTAGATGCCCAGTAATGGGATTGCAGGATCAAATGGGTGGTCTAGCTTGAGTTCTTTGAAGGTTCTCCGAACTTCCTTCCAAAAAGGTTGTATTAGTTTGCAGTCCCACCAGCAGTGTAAAAGTGTTCCTTTCTCTCCACATCCACACCAGCATCTGCAGTTTTGAGATTTTGGGATGTGGGCCATTCTTGCTGGGATTAAATGGTATTTCAGGGTGGTTTTGATTTGCATTTCTCTAATAATTAGAGACAATGAGCATTTTTTCATATGTTTGCCAGCCATTCATCTGTCTTCTTTAGAGAAGATCCTATTCATCTCTTTTGCTCATTGATATATGGGATTACTGGCTTTATTTCATGCTGATTAATTTGAGTCCTCTATAGATCCTAGGTATCAAGGTTTTATCCAATTGAAAATATGCAAATATCCTTTCCCATTGTGTAGGTTGTCTATTTGTTTTGTTTGTTGTCTGCTTAACTGTACAGAAGCTTTTCAGCTTAATTAAGTACCATTTGTTTATTTTTGTTGTTGCAGTTGCCACAGAAGTCTTCTTCATAAAGTCTTTCCCCAGACCTGTATCTTCTAGTGTTTTTCCTATGCTTTCTTTGAGGATTTTTATCATTTGGTGTCTTAAATTTAAGTCCTTTATCCATCTTGAATTAATTTTTGTGAGTGGAGAAAGGTGAGGGTCTAGTTTCAGTCTTTTACATGTGGATATCCAGTTCTCCCAGCACCATTTATTGAATAGGGAGTCTTCCCTCAGTGTATGTTCTTATTTGGTTTATTGAAGATTAGGTGGTTGTAAGATGTTAGTTTCATTTCCTGGTTTTCTATTCTATTCCAGATGTCTATGTCTCTATTTTTGTGCCAGTACCATGCTGTCTTGACCACTATGGCCTTGTTGTACAGCCTAAAATCTGGTATGCTTATGCCCCCAGCTTTGTTTTTATTACTAAGAACTACCTTAGCTATATGGATTTTTTTCTGGTTCCATACAAAATGAAGAATCATTTTTTCCAAGTCTTGAAAGTACAATGTTGGTATTTTAATAGGGATGGCATTGAATTGGTAAATTGCTTTGGGAAGTATAGACATTTTAACCATGTTGATTCTTTCAGCCACGAGCATGATATGTTCTTCCATTTGTTAATATTCTCTGCTATTTCCTTTCTTAGAGTTTCATAATTTTCTTTATAGAGGTCCTTTACCTCTTTTATTATGTATATTCCTAGGTATTTCGTTTTTTAAAAGCTATGGTGAAGGGAGTTGTGTCCTTGATTAGCCTCTCAACTTGGCTATTATTGGTATAGATAAAGGCAACTGATTTGTGGACATTGATTTTATATCCTGAGACATTACTATATTTTTTGATGACTTCCAGGAGTTTCGTGGTGGAGTCTTTGGGGTTCTTTAAGTATAAGATCATATTGTTGGCAAAGAGGGATCATATTGTTGCTCCCGTTTGGATGCCTTTTATTTCTTTCTCTTGCCTGATTATATTGGTTAGAACTTACAGTAGTATGTTGAATAGTAATGGTGACAGGACAAGCTTGTCTGGTTCCAGTTCTAAGTGGAAATGCTTTCAGTTTAACTCCATTTAGTAAAACATTAGTTGTGGGTTTATCATAGATAGCTTCAATCAGTTTAAGAAATGTTCCACATATGCCTATACTCTTTAGTGTTCTAATTAGAAAGGATGCTGGATTTTATCAAATACTTTTTCTGAATCTATTGAGAGGATCATATGGTCTTTGTTTTTGCTTCTGTTAATATGGTGGATAATGTTTATGGATTTGTGTATGTTAAACCAGCCTTGCATCTCTGGGATGAAAACTACTTGATCATGATATATGACTTTTTTGATGATAAACTGTAATCTATTGGCTAGGATTTTGTTGAGAATTTTTGCATCTGTATTCATTAGTGAAGTTGATCTGAAATTCTCCTTTTTAGTTGGGTCTTCTCCTGGTTTTGGTATCGGGGTGATGTTTGCTTTGTAGAATGTGTTGGAGAAGATTCCTTCCTCCTCAATTTTTTTGAATAATTTCTGCAGTATGGGAATAAGCTCTTCACTGAAGGTTTGATAGAATTCTGGTGTGAAGCCATCTGGACCAGGACATTTTTTTGTTGGGAGATTTTTTATTGTTTCCTTGATCTCAGTACTCGAAATTGCTCTGTTCGAGAGATCTATTTCTTCCTGACTAAGTCTAGGGAGAGGGTGTGATTCCAAATATTGATCCATTTCCTTCATACTGTCAAATTTCTGGGCATAGAGTTTCTGGTAGTATCAGAGATGATCTCTTGGATCTCTGTAGCATCAGTTGTTATTTCCCCTTTATCATTTCTGATTGAAGTTACTAAAGATTTTACTTTTTATTTCTAGTTAGTCTGACCAAAGGTTTATCTGTTTTATCTATTTTTTCAGAAAACCAACTCCTTGTTTTATTAATTTTCTGAATGATTCTTTTGTTTTCAACTTAATTAATCTCTGATTTAATTTTGGATATTTCTTTTCTTCTGCTGGGTTTAGGATTAGATTGTTCTTCTTTTTCCACTTCTATAAGATGGCTTGTGCGTTTGTTGATGAGCTCTCTTTCTGTTTTTCAAAAGTAGGCATCTAAAGTGATAAATGTTCCTTTCAGGAGTGTTTTTGCTGTATCCCAGAGGTTTTGGTAGCTTGTGTCATCATTGTTGTTATGCTCAAGGAAGTTAATGATTTCCTCTTTTATTTCTTACTGCACTCAACTGCCATTCAACAGAAAGTTGTTTCATTTCCATGCCTTTGTGTGGGGTTGAATGTTTTTGTTGGAGTTAAATTCCACCTTTAGTGCCTATGGTCTGAGAAGATACAAGGTAAAATTTCAATTTTTTTGATTCTGTTGAGGTTTGTTTTGTGTCCTAGGATATGATCAATTTTGGAGAATGTTCCATGGGCTGATGAGAAAAATGTATATACTTCAGCTTTGAGATGGAGTGTTCTATATACACCTATCAAGCACAGTTGTTCTAGGGCAGGCATCCTCAAACTACGGCCTGAGGGCCACATGTGGCAGCCTAGGACATTTATCTGACCCACTGGGTGTTTTTGCAGCCGTTGCCTGTCCTGCTTAGCAGCCAACTGGTCCCAGGGCCCATAGTCCAGCCCTCCAATGGTCTGAGGGGACAGTGAACTGGCCCCCTGTTTAAAAAGTTTGAGGACCCCTGTTCTAGGGTCTCATTGAAGTCCCTTATATCTTTGTTTAATTTCTGTTTAGAGGATCTGTCCAGCTTGATAAGAGGAGTGTTAAAGTTCCCTGTTATTACAGTGTTATAGGATATCATATTGCTCAGACTAATTAAGGTCTTTTCAAGAATCTGGGAGCATTTAAATTGGCTGCATAAATATTTAGAATAGAAACATCTTCTTGTTGTATTTTTCCCTTGACCAATATAAAGTGACCATCTTTGTCTTTTTTGACTTTAGTCGCTTTAAATCCACATGTATCTGAAAATAAGATTGCAACTCCTCTTTTCTTCTGAATTTTATTTGCCTGAAAAATTGATTTCCAATCCTTAACTCTGAGTTTTGTCTTTTGAGGCTAGGTGTGTTTCCTGCAGACAGCAAATGGATGGCTTGTGTTTTTTAATCCAGTCAGCCAATCCATGCCTCTTTAGTGGGGAATTCAAGCCATTAACATTTATTGAGATAATTGATAAGTGTGGTAGCATTCTATTCATCTTATTTTGTGAAAGTCCTTTGCTTAGTTTTATCTTTTGCAGCATTATGGAAGTTAGGTTCTGTCCTTTAATTTCTAGGTGCTTATTTTGCTGGTGGTCCATTGTGATGGTCAGTGTGTAGAACAGGTTGAAGTATTTCCTGTAGAGCTCACCTTATTGTGGCAAATTTCCTCAATGTTTGCATATCAGTCAATGATTTGATTTCTCTGACAATTTTAAAGCTGAGCTTAGCGGGATATAGAATTCTGGGCTGGAAATTGTTCCGTTTAAGTAGATTACAGGTAGATGACCATTGTCCTCTGGCTTGAAAAGTTTCATTAGAGAAGTCTACAGTCACCTTGGTGGATTTGCCCCTGTAGGTCAACTGGTGCTTACTCTTGGCAGCTTGAAGAATCTTTTCTTTTGTCTTGACTTTGGACAGGTTCATCACAATGTGTCTTGGAGAAGCTCAGTTACAGTTGAGGTGACCTGGGGTCCGATATCTCTCTGAAAGGAGTGTGTCAGAATCTTTTGTGATATTTGGGAAATTTTCATTTATAATATTCTCTAGTATGGCTTCCATTTCTCTGGGGCATTCTTCCTCCCCTTCTGGGATACCTATATCTCATATGTTTGAACACTTCATAAAATCCCATAATTCTGTCAGTGAACATTCTGATTTCTCTCCTTCTCTTTTCCCTCTTTAACTATCTGAGTTATTTCAAGAGCTTTATCCTCTACCTCTGAGATTCTTTCTTCTGCATGGTCTAATCTATCATTGATACTTTCTATTGCATATTTAAGTTCATTAATTGCTTCAGTTCCTTCAGCTCTGCTATATCCTTTCTATATTCTTCATATCTTTCATCTCTTATTTGATTCTGTTTTTGGATTTCCTTTTGGTTATTTTCCACTTTCTCAGCAATTTCCTTCATTGTTTTTTGTTTATTTTCTGCTTTCTCAGTGATTTCCTTCATTGTTTTCATCATCTGTATTTTAAATTCCCCTTCTGTCATTTCTAACATTTCTTTATTGGTAGAATCCTCTGTAGTAGCTACCTCATGGTCCCTTGTGGGGTTTGCTCTGGACTGTTTTTTCATGTTGCCAAGATTTTTCTGCTGATTCTTCCTCATGACTGTTTTCTTTTATATGTTTCCTTGCCCTAATTTTCCTTTCACTTACTCTTGCTCTTTAAGTTACCATGCCTCTGGCCTAAGGTTTTGCTGAGTCCTTTTGGTACAGGATCAAAAGGATGAGAAGATTGATGAGCAGGAGGGAAAAAAGATTTTTTTTTTTTAATTGAATGGTAACTATGTACATTAATGCACTTCTGGGGGGAAAAATGATTTTTAAAAAAGAACAAAGAGATAGGAGATGGGGTGAGTAAAAGGGAATATTGACAAAAAGAAGAGAGGCACAGAAGGAGGGAGATAGGAGTAATAAAGGTGTACAGTAGGCTACTTTGACCCAACCTTAAAAACCCCAATTTCTAGAGGTGCTGAGTTGGGTGGTTCCCTTGAGGTCAGCAGCTCTTTGCCAGCCTATTCAGACATAGTACCCCACCTCCATCAAATAAAGAGGAAAGACAAAAATACTATAAATCAAACCAAACCAAACAAACAGAAAACCTTACAGGATAAAATTGGGGGAAAATCCAAATAATAGGGGCAGAAACACTAGCAAAAATGAAGTTCTCATTATTAAAGAAGGCAACTATGGAAAGTTATATTTAAACTAGAAAAATGAAGGGGAGAGTGTGGGTGGAGGGAGGGTGATTGGTGGGATCACACCTATGGTTCATCCTATAAGGGTACATGTGAATCTCTCTAAATTTAGAATATAAATGTCTTAACACAATAACTAAGAAAAAGACATGAAGGCTATGTTAACCAGTTGGATGAAAGTATTTCAAATTGTATATAGAAACAGTACACTATACCCCATGATAGTATTAATGTGCACTGCTATGATTTAATAAAAAAAAAAAAAAAAGAAAGAAGGAAAAAAAAGAAAAATCTAGAGGGAAAATGTTGAAATAAATAAAAAATTAAAATACCAAAAACAAAAATAAAAACAAAGCGGTATATATATCTTACTGAATATTGTCTGGGAAACAGGTGATCTGGGGTATGAGATGTTAATCACAATGCTTATATAGCTGTATGAGATGGAGACTGGAGGCCTCTGCTGATTTCTCAACCCTGCAGGATTGAGAGCCTAAATCTCTCCTCAGCCCATTTAAAAGACACTTTAAACTGATAACCTCAGCTAAGCAGAAGCTTTCCCAGGAAAGCACTTGTCACTGGGATCTCTCCTGAAGTGGCTGCCCGCTTATCCAGTGCACCAAAAACTGGTCTCACTCCATGCCCCTGAAAGCAGAGGCTTCCAGGTGGCCCTGTTACTGCCAAACACTGAAATCTCTGCTCTTCCCCAGCGGCCTTTGGTGATGCTCAGCCACTAGATCACTCAGCCTAGGTCTCCCAGCCCGAGTCTCACTCTGTGACCCTGAGGGTGGAACCTGCAGGGGCAGTTCTCCTATAATGGCTGGGTGGCATAGCCAACAGCTGAACAATATTAGCTCTGTTCTGGCTCAGACCCGGGCCCTGGACAACACTTAAAGTCATCCAAACTCTTGCCCAAGTTCTTCCAAGGTAGTTCAACTGAGTCCCCAAGTCCAAAAAAATAAAACCAAACCACCCACACGGAAGGCCTTCCCTGTTTGCAGTCTCGCTGCTGTTGTGATTATAGCTATGGCAGCCATGGCCTCAGATAGAACGAACGCACGCAACTACTTGCCAGTTCTCCACTGCTTTTATTCTCCTCCTGGGGTCCAGAAGTCTCTCACTTTCTCTCTGTGTCCCCAAAGGGATGTTTCTGGGCAGAGCCCATGAGCCAGAGATGCCTAGAGTCTTCTCTCTCCAATCTCTCCATGCCTGGTTGCCAAGAAGCTATTACTTGGCCGCCATCTTGCTTCCTCCTCTCCTTCCCACTGTTTTTATATGAGTTTTATACATTAGGTATATTAATTTTATTTGTTGCAAGTATTTATAAATTTATTTATGATGTTTTTATGATATAAGATTTTTTGGTTTTTGTAATCAGATCTACCTATCTTATTTTCATAGGCACTGTCCAAAAAATTGAATGACACTCATAATGAACTTAATGACATAAAACAGAAAGTCCAAGATACTAATTTGGAGGTTAACAAACTGAAGAATATATTAAAGTCTGAAGTATGTATATATTTTTTCTTTTTGGTCATAATATCTAGAGTTTTCACTAGTATTACTTTAGTAATTGATTATACTCATAGGGACAGGTGAATAAAGTCTTTCTTTGATACATAGTGTATTTTAGTTTTGATACTGGTGGATTAACTATACATTTAGAATGTCCCCAGTGTTCAGAAAGATGGCTCGAGGAACATGCCCCTTTTAGTTTGCTACTTGCCACTCTAGATAAAATAATCTTCCTTTTCTGACAAAGGACCAAAATCAACTTGGCCTCACTTATATTTTTAATGGTGGAGTTTTCAATTACAAACTTCTGGCAAAAGAGGGTCCACCTGATTGTGTAACAGATCAGAATTGACAGAATTGATGTTATGAGGCCATCTGTTTCTTAGGACCAGCATGGAAATGACTGTCCTCTGTACTTCTCTGCTAGCAACCAAAGTTTGACCATGTGCATGTGTGTGACATCAGAGGATTCCAAATACATTTGCGTGCATGTGTAGTAACCCTGGAATAAACAGGCAGCTTGACCAAGGATGTTAGATATGTCCATTACATGGGCTAAAATAGTGCAAGTGGATTGATTATTTTAATAGGTGTGGTATTACCTATATGCCACTCATTTTTCCCCAAACTGTTTATTTTATTTAACATATCATTTAATATCAGTCTTGAACATGTATTCATAGTGTGCATAAGACTATTAAGGGCCTTGAAAGAGGAGAGAATCTAAGGACTCAATTGCAATACTTGCTTTGGGGCAAAGCAAGATACAAAGCCTTGTGTAAGCAAAGCAGCTGGTTTTATACACTCCTTGATTTTAAAGTACCAGCAATATAATATACTAAATTGACAGAAGCTTTGAAATCAGACATATTTGGCTCCTCTTCTTACTATGATAAAGACTTTTGCAGGCTACTCAACCCCTTTGAGTCTGTTTCCCATCTGTAATTGGGAAGAACATTCATGTAAATGAGATAAAGTATTTAAATCACCTAGTATTATAGTAAGCCATCTGAATCTCTTCTGGAATAGATCAGAAATAAGTAAATATCCAGAGCACATTTAATGGGGTAAGTGTTCTGTTCCCTTGTTCTTCCTGCCTTACTGCCCAGCTGTCAGGCAATTTTAAGTGAATGACATAGACCTAAAATTCTATCATTAGGAATGTAGGGGGTTCAACCCATAGCCTGCAAGCTGTATGCAGATTATGTGAAGAGTTTTTTGATTATGTGGTGGTGGATATTACGAAAATTACACATGGACTTTTTTTTTGGCTCATCAGATTTCATTAATGTTTGTGTATTTATTTAATGTGTGGCCCAAGATAATTCCTGTTCTTCTAGTGTGGTACAGAGAAGCCAAAATGTTACACCTCTGACAGAACTTGTAGATTCTGGGATTGTACTTTCAAGCTTCTCTCAGCTTTTAGCATCAAAGTGTGAAAATGTTTATGAGATTGCCTTTCATAACACTGGATAGATCCAGGTACCCTCCAAAAAAACGAACCATTTTGGTAGAGATAGGGCCATTAAGAAGTGTTAATGTCATTTATTCACTCATTCATTTGTTGCACAGAGTGCTGGATGGTTCTCCAGGCAGGAGGAACACCACGAGCAAAAGTATAAGGGAAAAATGTAGTGTAGAATGCACAGGGTGTCTTTGAATCTTATTTTCAGGATGCTTTTGTTAGAACTAAAGCTGGAAGTTATTTGATAATTGCTTTTTAGGAAGATTAATCTGGAGAGGTCAGGAAGAATAAATCAGAAAAGTAACAAAATCAGAAAGGAGGAAAGCAATTAGGAGAGGTTGTGTTCATAATTCAGGCTGGAAATGCAAAGGATTCCAGCTGAAGCAGGTGGAGTGTTGCAGTGAGTCCTGTTGGGTATAGGAGGGAGAGGTACCACATAGAGGCAAAGAAATACCAAAAGCAGAGAATGGAGAATGTCAAAGAACAGTTTCACTTTCTTTATAATGTTGCCTGTCTCAGGCCCCACATTGCTCTGGCCTCTATGGGGAAGTTTACAAAACAAGGTAAAATATGGTTTCTGGTTGCCAAGGGGGAGGTCCACTGAAGCGTTGGAAGACTTTTTTTTTTTGCAGTTTTTGGCCAGAACTGGTTTTGAACCGGCCATCTCCAGTATATGGGGCCGGCGCCCTACTTCTTTGAGCTACAGGTGCTGCCCCCTCCCCTTTTCTTTTTTCTTTTTTGAGACAGAGTCTCATCATACCGTCCTTGGTAGAGCACAGTGGTATCACAGCTCACAGCAGCCTCAAACTCTTGGGCTTAAGCAATTCTCTTGCCTCAGCCTCCCAAGTAGCTGGAACTACAGGTACCTGCCACAATGCCTGGCTATTTTTTTTGTTGCAGTTGTCATTGTTTAGCTGGCCCAGGCTAGGTTCAAACCCACCAGCCTCAGTGTATGTGGCCACTACACTACCCACTGAGCCACAGGTGCCGCCTAGGTTGGAAGACTTTTTATGGCAATCCTTTTTCACGTTGAATCATGTATTACTTGGTCACAAAATTAAGTTTAATATTTAAAAGCAGTTCCTATATTTGAGAAATACCAGGTGTTATGGGGGATTAGTACATTCACACCCAACCACATAAAGGTGTAAGGCAATTTTAAGTGAAAAACATAGGGCTTAAGTAGAAAATTAAAGAGGATAAAGATTGATGTAGGTAAAACTTAGATTATGTAGATCATACCATGTACCTCCCAAGTACATACTCTGTAAAAAACTATTATTTTTAGTACAAAAATACTGGCACATTTGGAATATCTGAATCTCCAAAGCCAATAAAGTGCTTTACCTTATTAACTTATTTACAGTTAGCAGAGATTTTTCACAATGGAGACCACAAGGTGGCGATATTAGCTGAATTTCAACCAATCTTAAGTAATTGTGAGAACAGGCTTAGAGGGAGAGACATTATTTGTCATCTGGTCTTTCTGATAGGGAAGTGCCCTATTTATTAATGAATAGGAAGTAAAGAGATCTAGTGCCACCTGAAGATTAATTACTGAGATTATAATTCATTTTTTGAACTAGGTTGCCAAACCATAATAATAAAATGTTTTCTTAAAAGGGTCTAATAATTATATAACAATATATTATTCGTGGAGATAATTTTTTCTTCTGTAGAAATAAGATCCTATATCATTCAATCTTCTCATGATAGGTTTGATATTTTACTTCTGAGAATTTTCAGGTAAGTTACTAGACTGGTGGGCAAAGGTGAATCCTAGAACAGCTCATGATTAAGAAAATTAAGACTGGGACTGAGTGAAAGGCAGGAACCAAACAGGAAATATGCCAAACCAAGAGAATTATCAGAAGTTGACTCTTAAGATATTCCAGACCTGAGAAGCTTTATAGTCAGTACAACCCAGTAAGTTGGTCAGAAGCCAGACCAGCAAGTAATCAGTAACAGACATATGGGGAAAGGAGGCAACGGAAGATTTTGTTTGAACAAAAGGAAATAAAAGAACATATTCATCCTGGTCTTGAAGGTAAGAGTAATTTATTTAAGTTTACAAGTGGGATGATTGTGACTCAGGAGCCAGGGTAGATCCTGATCTCACTCCCTTTTGTTAATTACAGGATGACCAGTTTTCTAAAGTATAAAAATATAGCTAGGTTTCTTCAAGGTTATGTAACAAATATTCCTTATGACAAGTGAATTCCCAGTGACCTGAAAAGTAATGTTTAATTTGTTTCATACACTGAACATTCTAAACATCTTAAAGTAATAGCTAAGATTTGCTTCTCAGGAATCTGAGAACCGGCAGATGATGGATCAGCTCCGAAAAGCCAATGAAGATGCTGAAAACTGGGAAAATAAGGCCCGTCAAGTAGAGGCAGAAAACAATACCCTCAAATTGGAACTTATCACTGCTGAGGCAGAGGGTAACAGATTAAAAGAAAAAGTAGATGCCCTCAACAGAGAGGTTGAGCAAGTAAGTTGGAGAAATATGCTTATAATACATCTTACATCATATGTAAGAGAATTTTGTTTGGCTTTCCAAAAACTAATATACTTTACATAATGTAAATGATATAAACAAATATTTAAATTATTTAAACATGTTCTAAATTATTGTTACCATTTGTTAAAATTAGGAGGTATTTCAAACACAGGAAAAAGATGCCCCAAAAGGTAATCTATCAGAAAAACATATCCCTACCTACTGGATGCTGACATTTTGCCCATTTACTTCAGATATCTCTGTTGAAAGAAACAAAATACTCCTCATACTTTTCCCTCCTCTCTCTAATTGTTGGTGTGTGTAACTTTCATTTCAGTGTGTCTAATTCCTTGGCATGTGTTTATACTTTTTCTAAATATTTATCATCCATAAGTGATGTATAATGTTGTTTGTATGTTTTAAGTTTTTATTTATGATTACAAACATACTGAAGATAGCAACTTGCCCAATTTGCTTAATATTGTAATTTTCAAATTTATCTACTTTAATATATGTAGTATTCTACTACATTCAAACAATTGCAAGTATTCATTGTATATTTTCTTTTTAAATTCATTCCCATATTGAATGAAATTTAATTTTTGTCATTTCTTCTTGGCCATGGGTTCTCTAGGTTTATTCCTGCAGGTAAGCAACTAGATCTAAGATGTGTGCAAGTTCAACTCTTCTGAGTATTGTCAAATTGCTCTCTAAATACACTCTTATAGCGCCTATAGTTTTATGTTATTGTAATATCTAGGAGGATTAATATTCCCCAAAGTTATTTTGACTGTACTTGGCCCTATGAACCTCTCTTAAATAACTTTTAGAATAAATTGATAACATTTCAAGATCTTATGTCTGTCTTCTTTTATATGCATTTAAGAATGGAATTTTTCTCTGTTTCTTTGGCTGCAGCCCGTAGTTCTGAGGTAATATTTTTATTGTCTTTTGCTTTTCATGAGTTACTTTCTCAAATACTAATCAATACTTGATATTATCAGACTTTCAAATTTTTTTCATGCTTTTTGTTTTGTATTTCCTTTATCATAAGTGAAATTGAGATCTTTTCATGTTTTTTAGCCATTCAGAATTCCTCTTCTTTGAATTTTTTCTAGAATTTTTCTTGAATTTATTTTTTGTAAACTTTGTCCATTTTCTTCTGGATAGTTATCTTTTTCATATTGATTTAAAGTAATTATCTATATATTCTTGATAATTATCCTTTTAAAGAAGTTATAGTTTTCTCACCCTTGTCTGTGGCTTGTCTTTTCACTTTACTTACAATATAAACAGAAATGTTAAACTGATACACTCAGAATTATTATCAGTCTCTTCCTATATGGCTTATGCTTTTAAGTCTTTTTTAAGAAATCCTTTACTATCCCAAGGCCAGAAAGAGATTTTCCTATATTTTCATTTAAAAGTTATTCTGAGGCTCGGCGCCTATAGCTCAACCGGCTAAGGCACCAGCCACGTACACCTAAGGTAGCGGGTTCGAATCCCCAGCCTGGACCCGCCAAACAACAATGACGGTTGCAACCAAAAAATAGCTGGGCGTTGTGGCGGGC